GAAGCACTTCTTTACACAGCGTGTAGTCAGAGTATGGAATAGTCTTCCTGCTATTGTAGTGGAAGCTAAAACCATGGGTTCCTTTAAATCAGAGCTAGATAAGATTTTAACAACTCTGAGATATTAGCTAAGTTCTCCCCAAACGAGCTTGATGGGCCGAATGGCCTCCTCTCGTTTGTAAATTTCTTATGTTCTTATGTTCTTATGTCACTGACTCCGGGATTAAGTCATCGGACTCTGGCATTGGATTATCCATCTGATCGCAGCCATTTTGTATCCTGGCGCTCCCTGGAACCGGCGTACACTTGGCTGAGGCCCGTCGTCGCCCCCCCCCCCCCCGGTGGAATTCCACACTGAACATGTTCGCTCACCTCGCTAGTCTCCGGCCAGTAGGTCAGGCACCCCAGAAAGAGAGTGAACCAGCTTCTATCAGGATTGTACTAGTGAATGCACGATTGCTTGGGAATAAGACATTTATCATGAATGACTTCTTCAAAATGCACAAGTTGGATCTTTTGTGCCTTACAGAAACCTGGCTAAGCGTTGGTAAGTTGAGCCCCTTGCAGAGCTTTTACCGCCTGATTGCACATACTTAAACTCACTGAGGAGAACAGGACGAGGTGGTGGTTTAGCGTCTGTTTTTAAAAACTGTTTTAAATGCAAGCAGTTGTTCGAGACTCAATACTCCAGCTTTGAACAGAATGTGTTTGAGTTAGACCCCCCGCAACCGGTCTTATGTGATGTACCGTCCTCCGAAATATAATGGGGACTTTATTCAGGATTTTTCTCACTTTCTGTCTGGGATCATGGTCAAATATGATCGTGTTTTGATTGTTGGAGATTTCAACATTCACGTTTGTTGGCCCTTCAAACCTCTGTCAAAAGACTTTTTTAATGTTATTGATTCTTTTAATCTTGTTCAGTCTGTGACTGGCTCCACTCATATACTGGGGCACACGTTAGACCTGGTGCTATCTTGTGGCCTACCTGTGCAAAACCTAGAGGTTCATGACACTGTTTTTTCTGACCAGATGCCTGTATTATTTGAAATCCCTTTCCATGCTCATGACGCTAAAGCTTGTGCTTCTGCGTGCCGGTGCCATATTGTTAACCCTACCACTGCTGTTCGTTTCTCTGCTGCATTTACAAGTGCCGCTGAGGCTCAAACTCTATTTGGTCATGATACTGAACAATTGACCTCATCTTTTTATTCTACCTGCCTTAACATCCTGGACAGTGTTGCACCTATTAAAACACTGCGCCCTAAAACCAAAAAAGAGCCATGGTTGACTGAGAGTGTAGGAGGGCTGAACGCAGGTTGGAAAAAGATAAGTTACATGTATCTTTCGATATTTTGAAAGAAACTTGGTTTAAATATCAAAAAACTGTTAAATCAGAAAAAACAAAATATTTATATGATAAATATATGATATTGTTCTAAGCAACTGTGACACGTGTTCTTTTCAATACTATCAACACTGTTCTCAATAACCATCAGCCTGTGGAGTCAGACACCTCCTCAGTGAATAGTGAAAAATTCTTACAGTACTTTGTGTTTAAAATTTCTAGCATTAGAGCTCTTATAACCCCACCCTCTTTTGACCCTTCTATCTCTGTCACTTGCACTGGGACTTTCAGTCAGTTTGAGCCAATATCACTCTCCAATTTAAGTAAAATTATTGGGCAAATGAAAATTTCATCTGATCCAACAGACACAGTTCCTCTTCTTCTTATTAGGCAGACAATTGAGACTACAGGTTCCAGCATATTAGAGATTATGAACTGTAGCCTTGCCTCAGGTGTTGTGCCAAGGAAATTTAAGCATGCTGTTGTTCAGCCGTTGATTAAAAAACCCAACTTAGACACTTCAATCCTTTCTACAGACCCATTCTCTAAACTTCCATTTTTATCTAAAGTTCTTGAGAAACTCGTGCTTCAACAACTGCAGTCTTTTCTAGATATACATGGTATACTCAGGGTTCCCCCTGGAGTTTGATTTCAATTCTTCACTTTTCTTTGTATTTTTGCTTCTACTAATCAAATTCTTCACTTTTTTTCAGCATCCGTTTTTTTAGTCACTCTCTCGCCGCTTCTTAATAAATTAATCATTAAACTCACTGAATATACATCTCTTCTGACAATCACACTGTGATTGGTCAACTAATGGCATGGGTGAGTCACGAGTCTACTTGATAAGGTTGGGAGAATCGTGAATACTGTGTAAAAATTTGCGTGCTGAAAACATGATGTATAGTACACATTTCGGAAATAATGTTCTAATTACTATATATATATATATATATATAAGGTAAGCTAATACTTTCCCGGTGTTTCATAGTATACCTTTGAGAGGGACATTCTAAAACACTTAATGTGAAAACGCTTAATGTGGTTTAATGTACCAAAATAGCGACCAATAATCACCAAATTTCGCACACACACATCTGGTCATAAAGACTTTCACTTGACAAAAAATCAAAACCGAAATACAAGGAATATGGACTTGATTTTACTTTAAGCGTTTTCCCCTCCATTGACACCAATTATAAGGAAAAGGCTTAATGTAACTTAAAGTACCAAGACAGCCACCAAAAATCACCAAATTCTTCACGCATATATCTGGTCATAAACACTTTCACCTGACAAAAAATCTAAACCGAAATACAAGGAATATAGACTTTATTTTACATTAAGCCTTTTCCTTATAATGGGCGTCAATGACCATTTATGGCCAGATGTGTGTGTGCGAAATTTGGTGATTATTGGTCGCTATTTTGGTACATTAAACCTTTAGAACGGCCCATGCTCATTTGGCATGGCTGATCGACGATCGTGTGTCCGGGGCGCCGGGCCAGTTTTGATTAGGCGCTACGGGTGCTACGGTTGAAAATTAGGGAAAAAATGAAATTCGACTTTTCAAAAATTCAAAATTCGTCATTTGAAAATTGAATTCGCCAAAGTGACGATTTGATGCCGTTTTTCTTCGTCACCATGGGTTCCGTTTTCGTCGATGACGAGAGTGACGAGCGGCAGCGGGATTCCAGTATACTGGAACCCCTCCAGTCTGGTTTTAAAGTGCTCCACAGTACTGAATCAGCATTACTTAAGGTTTTTAATGATCTATTACTAGCTACTGACTCTGGAGATTCTGCTATTCTTATCCTTCTTGATCTCACCGCTGCATTTGATACTGTAGATCATGGCATATTAATCTCCCGTTTGGAGCACTATGTGGGTATCAGATGCACTGCTCTGGAATGGTTTAGATCATACCTGGCAGACAGAAGTTTCACTGTCTTCCTAAATGGATAGGAATCTCCTTCTGCACCTCTCCCCTGTGGTGTTCCTCAAGGGTCCATTCTGGGGCCTATACTTTTTTCCCTTTACATGCTCCCCTTGGGATCCATTCTTAGAAAATATAATATTTCTTTTCATTCCTATGCTGATGATACGCAAATTTACATGCCATTAATACATAATGACTACCACTCTTTTAATCGTTTACTTGACTGTCTAGAGGACATCAAAGCCTGGATGGCTTTAAATTTTCTAAATTTTAATGAAAACAAAACCGAGGTTCTAGTCTTTCGGCCCAGTACTGCCTTTCATGCATATGTAGACCTAGGCCCCTTAGAACCATATGTGAAAGACACAGCAAAAAACCTTGGCGTAATTTTGGACTCTAATTTTAAAATGGAGAAACAAATTAACACAGTTGTAAAGTCTAGCTTTTTCCAATTAAGGCTTTTTTCCAATGTTAAACCCTTCGTATCATTGAATAACTTTGAGAGGGTTATACATGCCTTTGTTTCATCCCACCTAGACCATTGAAATGCCCTGTATGCGGGCATTAGTTGTTCCTCCTTATCTCGTCTTCAGTTCAGAATGCTGCAGCCTGCCTTCTAACCAGAACACAAAGGCGGGAGCATATTACACCTGTGCTCGCAGTCCTTCATTGGCTCCCTGTCCATTATAGGATTCATTTCAAAATTATTTTATTCGTTTTCAAATCGGTAAAAGGTCTGGCACCTTCCTACATATCAGGCCTTTTGAAAGTTCATACACCATCCAGGGCTCTTAGGTCAGCTGACCAACTCTGCCTAGTTATTCCTCCCTCTAGGCTAAAAAGCAGAGGTGATCGGGCCTTTGAAGTGATTGCACCTAAACTCTGGAATGAGCTGCCATTGCACATATGCCTGGCTCCTTCCTTGGCTGTTTTTAAATCTCATCTTAAAACTCATTTATATGCCCTGGCATTTAATAAAGCATGAATGAGTTATTTAGTTACCTGTATTTTTGACTGTCTAGAGGACATCAAAGCCTGGAATGCTTTGTTTTCTAAACTTAATGAAAACTTAATTGAGGTTCTAGTCTTGTTTTTTGTTTTATGTTTATTTTATGTTGTGCTTTCCGTTTGTCTATCAAGTCGTATTTCCTTGCTTGTCCAGCACTTTGGTCAGCTGTTATTGTTGTTTTTAAAGTGCTTTATAAATAAATGTGACTTGACTTGACTCCTGTTCAGAGAGTAACAGGAGAATTTCAGCTAGTGACTGCTTACTAGGAATGGTGGTCTGTGGGTAGCTACTTACCTTCACAGGACAGGCCATGAGATGTGACACCAGAGAGGGCCTCACGGCACACATTGCAATATGTGGGCCGGGCATGTGAGCAGGCGTACCAGTTGTGCATACCAGAGAAGTGGTCCATGCTATACTGTGTGGACTAAAGGAACAGCAAGAAAATCACCATGGTTTAAGGGGATCAGCAACACTCAAATTTTATATTGCTGAATCATGATGAATCATGCCTTGCTCACCTCAAAGTATTCCCGGTTCTGCACTGTCCTTAATGCTGTTATCCAGTCCTCCATTTCCTTTCGATTCTCTGCACACAGGATTAGCTTTCGACAGGGAGTGATAATCTATTGGAAGAAAGACACACATCAGTAGGAGAACATTTTAAAATGGATTTGAGAAAGCACTTTTTTACGCAGCGTGTAGTTAGAGTATGGAAAAGTCTTCCTGTTAGTGTAGTGCAAGCCAAAATCTTGGGTTCCTTTAAATCAAGATAAGATTTTAACAACTCTGAGCTATTAGCTGAGTTCTCCTCAAAAGAGCTTGATGGGTCGAATGGCCTCCTATCGTTTGTAAATTTCTTATGTTCTTATTAAAAAAGAGATAGATGACAGCAATACAAACACATCAAGATTATAATAGTAAGGATTATAATTCTGGATTCCATTCAAAGTTGGAAATAAGACTAACTTCAAAGCTCTTCAGCATGACATTATGCATCACAAATAGTTCTCTATGCAAAAAAGATTCACATAAAGAATAAAAGATCATGTTGTAGTGGCTAATTCCAACATCTGATCAAGCAGATGTTACTTTGGAGAGATCAATATTCATTTCAATTCAAATGTATTTATATGATGCATTTTCACAATATTATATTGTCTCAAAGCTAAAGCACTCTGTCCTTGTCCAGTGCCGCCAGTGAGCAAGCCAGAGGCAACAATGACAAGGAAAAACTTCCTAGTAGGAAGAAACCTTGGGAAGAACCAGACTGAAAGGGGGAGCCCATTCTTCTAAGGCCGGCAAAGCAAATTTTAAGTGAGCTGGCCCAGGAATGTCAGATGACCGGCTACCAAAAACTGCGCAGGTCATGTGAGGGTTTCTGTTGCATAAAAAAATAGCTTTGGGTTCCTTCAGTTAACTAAACTCTAACATCACAGTCTTGGCATGGGGCATTACCAGGCTGAAATAATCCATTAGCAAAAGAATCCACCACAGCCATGAAGGCATGAACCAGACTGAAAAGAAATTCAGATAGACTGTGGCATTCAGAGTTTACTCTGATTTTACAGATGATTCACCAGACCAGGACTTGTTTTCATTCCTTAGCTGCAGTACCTTTTTTAGTGAAGAAAGGAGAACAGTGAGGGTAATGGCAACCATTCATGTCAAGCTGTGACTCACACAATGTGGGTACGCCTCATTCACCAGTTTTATTATTGACCCTTAGCCTATCATTGGCCATATATCTTCTGGGTGGGGGGTTCTTTCAGATACGTAAAGGACGCCAATCATTCTCCATAAGTTATAAAACCCCACTCCCAACTGTCCCAAAACTTAAATATCCTTATTTGACCTCTTTCCTCCCCTTCTTCTACAGTCAATTATACAACTGAAATCATTTAATGTGTTTCATTAGGGGTGGCAAGTGACCTGAAAAGAACAAGCAGTTGCAAAAAATAGATGGATGGAGCTTTGATTCTAATCAATTTCAATGATTTTGTACAATCACTGCAAATGTAAAAACAAACAAACAAACAAGTAAATAAGGGCATTTGTTGGTAAGTAAAACACAAGGTACCACACTGTATTATCTAGACAATGAAAGAAGTTTCATTCAGCTAGTTAATACCGGACAAAAAAGGCCCAAGAAATCTCAGAATGCCCTTAAAAACTGTGATCTACAGTTCCCCCTGAACTTCCGGTTTGTAATGTAGCAAGTGGATGCATACGAGAGTGCTCCCGGGGTAACTATCTTTCCTTTTTCTATTAGGTGAAACCTTTTCTTTATGATCTAACCTCTTAATGTGTAAGTAGTCTGTGTTTTGACTTTTATGTGCAGAAATGAGCCAATCTAAGTCTAATAAGCAGAGTAATATCGCTCAAATCCCTGTACTCTCGCCAACCACCCCCCTAGTCTGTTACATGCACCACGTGAGTAGATCGCCTAAGGCTCCAGGATTTCCCTATCAGCGTCACAGTGCAGACCTGGAGTGTGGTACCGTTGGGGGTGGCGTGATCTTTAAATACCCCCCTCCAACCATGGTACTCAGCAGTAGCAGGTGAGACGCCCCTACTCCAGAGGGAGCCCAACTAATAAAAGCGGGATAAACACCATACACGAGGATAAGGTAAACTGAACACATGGGCAGTTTATTCACTGTGCAATAGTTATCAAGTTATTAAATTGAAAGAACCAAAACTCACATACAAAAGGAACTGCAATTACCGTACTGAGTTTCACCAAAAACCTGACTCCCCTCTATTAATGAAGCCCCAGCCCCTGTCACCCTACTGAGCGCTCAGTGTCTAACTGTAGAGGCCTCAATTAAGAACCCCCCTTACCTCCCCCCTTACTCTTCATATAACACATTCATAGTAATCTTACAACAGGACACATTCATATAACACATTCATAACAACAAGCTCATAACAGAAATGAACCTTATCCATTTAGCACTTTACGCCACTGTTACATTATAATAATCAGTCCGATAACATCAACACTCTCAAGCGAAAGTCTGTTCAGTACGTTTACTTCCACAATGGCCGCCAGAGAAATCGGACATCCGGGCGTGCAGTTAGAACATGGCGGGTCCGCCAGGCTGTAACGAACGCGGCAAATGTGGTGTGCAGCAGCGACCTTTCACAAACTCTGCCTACTGACTGTCGGATTAGCCGATGTCTTTTACTTGTTGGCCAAGTTGCTGATCGCTCTGATTTACAGTCGCCAAGATATATTTTATTAAATATCACTTGCGCCGTCCTCGGTGCTGGAGCTGAAGAGTCGTCTCCGTATGGCAGGGAAGCTGCTGCGAACCCTCCAGACTCCGATTCCCTCTACGCGGCACCAGGTGCAGCTCTCCGACGATGCACGTCTGTTGTTCTGGTCGCTCACAATTTAGTCATCACTGCTTCCTCCGGAGCATCGACTTGGCTCGAACCTGCCTTCGAACTAACTTGGTCCCATGCAATGGTTAAGTACACACAGCCCTTCCAGACTGATGTGAGCAGCTTCACCGTAGGTAAACATAGGATACTCCCTACGCACTCTACACCTCCCGTCCACACTAGAACGAAGAACTACTTCCTCTCTCACTGCCCCCGTCCTCTCTATTAGCGACTCCCCTTTTTTTAGAACCTCCTCCTCACTCCCGCCTACCACGCTGGCCGGCTATACGCAGCAGCATTACGTCATGACGCACCGTCACACTCCCCCTGCCCAAACCCTGACATACCAGAGACGTCCCAGCAAGCTCCAGCACCTCGGAATGACAAAGCGGGAAAACAAAAACAAAGGTTGCAGTAGAAAAGAACGCTTTGGGAAACATCCAACGAACCACAAACATTACAGTTTGCATGTGCTCAAACTCTTAAGGCACACACCCAATAAACAACAACAAACTCTTTCATCCACTCTTAGGCCATGAAAGGGGAAATTAGCACACTCAGGATAAGACATAGTCATGGCGATACTGGATGGGCAGTTGGCCTCTGGAGCTTCTTAAAGGGCGTCTCAACCTGCTCAGCTGCTCCACCTCTGGCGACGGCATTTCAGCACCATCAACAACCTCCTCCGCCTCCCTCCCATCACAGGCTTCACCTAAGTCATGTGTGGCCGTGTCAGGGTGTACATATGGGGTGAGACAGACCAGATCAGGCTGTTCAGTATCGGTGTGACCTTCTGTCTCCCTAGGCCTACGAACAGCATGAGCCCTACGTGGCGTGGGAAAAGTGCAATGCTTAAGCTGATCCCTATGTACAACTCTGCTAGCTCCGCCCCCCTCAGGCCTGACTGTGAATACTGGTATGTCTGGACTGTTCTGTTTAACCACCAGATAGGGGTTCTTCTCCCACTTGTCCTGGATTTTATTCCTTCCCCTATGCCAATGGTTCTGCAACAACACTCTGTCCCCAGGCTGGAGAAGAGCAGCATGAGAGTTCCTATCGTACACTCTCTTTCGCCTCTGAGAAGCTTCTTGAGCATTAGCCTGCGCTGCCTCATATGCCCATAGTGATCCAGGACCCAGTCATCCAGGTTCTCTACTCCTTCGGACTCCAGATCTACCCCACCTAGGATGTCTCTGGGCAACCGTGCGTTTCTCCCAAAAAGCAAATAAAAAGGTGTGTAGCCAGTAGAAGAGTGGACATGGCTGTTATAAACCATTACCAATTCAGGTAGGTATTCCGTCCAGTTCCTCTTCTTTTCAGCAGGCAAGGTCCACAACATGCTGTGCATCATTCTATTGAAACGCTCACACTGAACATTACCCTGAGGATGGTATGGGCTTGTGCAGCTCTTGGAAACTCCATAAATGCAACACAACTCTTTAATCACCCCTGCCTCAAAGCTGCGGCCCTGGTCTGAATGGATTCGGGAGGGGCAACTGTAGTACACAAACCAATGCCTGACAAGGACCTCAGCCATGGTCCTAGCCATCTGGTCCTTCGTCGGCACCGCTATGGTGAACCGGGTGAACATATCAGTCAAGACTAACATGTTCTCGTAGCCCCCTACTGACCTCTCCAATACAGTATAGTCTATAGCTAATACCTCCAATAGTAAGGTCACATTCATGCACACCATTGGGGCCTGGATCCTTGGGAAGACGTTCTTGGCTAGTGCACATCTCTTGCACTGTCTTACCCAGTCCTGCATGTTTTTTGCCCATTAAAGGCCAATAGTACCCCCTCCTCATCTGTTGGAGGGTGCCCTTTGCACTGAAATGGCCACCATGCTCATGCTGCGCCTCATACACTAGCCTTCGGAGCGTCCCGAGCACAACTAACTGGTGCACCTCCTCACCATCCCATGGGTCAGCAATGCGTCTAAACAAAACACCGTTACACAACCTCAGCCTGTCCCACTGCGAGATTAGCTTCCTGCAAGCTGGTTCCATAGCCTTCAGTTGTCGGCCCACTGGCTGATTATTCTGCTCTACATCCCTGAGTGTAGGGCCTACTTCAGCATCATCCATTTGGAGCCGTCAAATCTCGTCCCACCGCCATAAGTACATCTCCCCCTCCGTAGCTACTTGGGAAGCAACACGCTTATGCTCTTATGTTCTTATGCACCTCTGACACTCCAAGAGCTGACACTTGTCCCGGCCACAAGCAGGCACGCACTTCCTCTGCTTTTAGCAGCAAAAAGCCCTTCTCTGCATCCGGTACCTCTGGCTCCA